CTGATTTCTCCAAAGAATTTTTGATTAGATGAAAAGTAGTCTTAGACATCATGTTCATTTTGATCAATAATAATAGTCAATACATAACAGCTTTGAATGCTATTGTAATTTAATTCAATCTTAACATGCTTCTCCTGCTTGTTTTTTTCCTTATCTAGCCTCTTTAATTGCATGTTCACTTATTTGGGAAGTTGAAAATATATTTGGGCTCCATACTGGTTGATATATCACCAATTGTTGTTTTTACTATTATGTGCCTTTGAATGAAGTGACAGGATATAGTTTGTCAATGGAGTATGACAATGAAGAACATGGTTTTATTAGTGTTCCGGCTCCTGAGTTTGGTGCAATTTTTATGTCAAACATTGCAACAAAGAGAGAGTGCTTTAAGCATAGTGTCTTTGGCCTTCCATTGTCCATGGGTAATTTTGTGAAGGAGGTCAAAAAAGGAATGATCCTGTTCCTATTTGAATATGAAAGGAGACAGCTTTTTGGAGTGTATCGGGCTATCTCAGACGGCGGAATGAACATTGTACCCCATGCATTTAGTTCTTCTGGGAAGCAGTTCTCTGCACAGGTATCATATTGTCAAATAATGATTTCTTATAATTCAACAATTATTATCATTATCATTAGGTTGAATAATGCAAGGATATTTTTGGTTTCCTTTTCTTCTTTTTGCTTTCATGTTCTTTTCCCCAGGTCCAATTTGAGCTGATTTGGCGTTGTAGTCCACTATCTGAAGATGAGTTCTGTGATGCCATTAGGGAGAACTACTTTTCAGCAAGGAAGTTCCACTTTGGTCTGTCTGATGAGCAGGTGTGATGATTATACTCTATATTTGGGTTTTTAGTGATCATATGTTGTAGCTAGCTGCTTATTTCTGTTACTAATTGTTCCTTCTCAATATGCAGGTTCATAGGCTTCTTAGATTGTTTAGTTCAAGAAAGTTAAAGAATAAGTTACCCCCGAGAAAGCTCACAACTGGAGTGAGCAATGGAATTGATAAAGACCTTATAATGGTCAGTAACAAATCCTATACATTAAGCGGTGGCTCTAATATCAAACGTTCTAATGCTGATTTAAGGCCTTCACTGTCAAGAGGACATCCAAGGTCATTCCATGGAGTAAAAAGAGTCCCCGATGATATGTTTTCAATTGATCACAGAGAGAAGAATGAAGATATAGTTGATTCTGCTGAATATCTCTACTATAATGATAAGAAGAGAAGGATAGGTTATGATGAAGCATTTTCGAGGGATAATGCTGCAGAAGATAAGCTTCATGTTCACTCGCCCACTGAAGAATTAGGATTTCCTGGAGATGACGAGTGGTCTTTGAATGACAGGGTAAAGAGGAAGCATAAAATAAACACAAATTGTACTCCTGCCCCCTCCAACTACATGGAAGATTCTGACCTCAGAAGAACAGTTCATGATGCAAATTTAGTGGTAAGAGATCAGATAGTAAAGGAAAATAACATGGATAGTAATTTTGGTCCGGGCAGATCAAATGAGTCAGACAATGCTAGAACTAGACTTGGTGCTCATTATGCTGGTTTTTCAAGGAACAATCATGTGGATAGAGCACATAGCATGGATATTTCTCATGAGCCTTCCCTTTCTAGGAATAATAGAAGTGATCCCTTTTGGAATGTTGGAACTGCAAGTGATAATTGGCCGAAGACCTTGGATGATAGAGTAGGGGGGAAAAAGAGCCATTTGGACCCTGATATTAATTCTACAATTGTGTCTGAGCGCTTTGTGAACTCACCCTACAAGAAAAAAGGAATGCGTAAAGATGGTAGATTATTCAGAAGAGAGATAAGCGAAAATGAATCTAAGTTTCGTACAGGAATCATAAGAGAGTTTGATCATCAAGAGTCCACTGATGATGATGATGTATGCTTCCTTTCTATGCGTAAAGGAGCAAATGAAAAATGTGCTGACAGATTTCTTATCCCAACTGCTTCAAATGGGAACTCCGCCTATGCCGGAGATGTAGGTAGACAAATGGCTGAAGTTGGTAGTTATCCAATGAATGATTTTGATGGGTTGGTCCCTGGTACAGAGAACTTCAAGAGGCCTCTCTCCGGGGCTGATTGCACTGTGTACTCTCCAATGAAGAAAAGAACCCCAGGGTACTCCACCAAATTTCTTGCTGGAACAGAATTTCCTCAGTCAACAGAGGGACAAAATCTTGGTCAGTCTTGCTCTAAATTCCATGATGCAACAATTACAAGAGTCATGCCATATAAGGATGAGCTACCAAATTCTTGTTATGGACATACCGAGACATACGAAGTTGAACAGGGTTCAATCTTTGTGCGAGGGCCACCTTCTTCCAATGTGTATAGAGAGAATAACTTTGCATCTTCTAAAGGTATATCTTCTCCATATTCCCATCCTGAATTTACAAAGAGGGGCCTGGAATCAGCTTCTGAAGGTGGAAAAATGGTTCTGCTTTCGCAAGATGGGTTCAGCAATCCTCTTATAAATGTTGGAATTTCTGAGTCGGTGGAACCATATAGGTCTGGTTCTTTTGGTTATAGAACTGCTTTCATTTCAAGGGCATCTATTGTTCCACAGTTAACTAGGGATGATATTAATGAGGGTGAAACTTGGAGATTTTCATCTCAAGCTGCCCTTGGTTCAATTGCTAGAAATTCCTTTTCTGGTAATTATCAATGTGCTGATGAGCAGATAGCTGATGGGCATGTTATATGGCAAGGGAGTGATGCAACTCATGTTGGAAGAAGATGTCGCTCTCCTAACACTAGTTGGTTGCTCCAAGGAAATGTTTTGACAAATCTTGACTATGCCAACAGACCTGGAGCTGATGTCGTTAATGATGAATACGAGAACAACAGATTGACGAAAGTTCTTCATTCTGATACCAGAAATTCCAGAAGAAGTGTTTTTAGTCGCTTATCTTTGGCTCCTAAAGTACATAAGCCAAGAGAACAAGAATTTGATTATAGTATGAGCTTCGATGAACATTATTATATGGATACAACAGTTGATGAAATCATGGACTCGTTATACGAGGATCAGAAAATTGTACCAAAAAAGCCATTGAACCGTAAACCATTTATCCGAAAAGTTGGTTCTGGTGAAACTAATAGGTCAGGAAAACATGCTTCAGTTGTCAAGAATGATGCAGAGCAGACTGCTGATTCAATGATGAGAGTTCTCAAAGGAAGTGCAAATGAAGTTCTTGAAGAAACCATGAACCATATTCTGGCAGAGACCAGAATGGTGGATTTCAAGCGCAGGAGGGAGACGAATCGAACTTCAGAACAGAGTACTGTTAAATTAAACAAAGAAGAAGAGACAAATGCTAATGAACACACAGTCCTTCAGAATGCACAAGGAAACAGTTCTCAAACTGCAGTGGCTAAGGATTCAGCTGATAAGCCATTCAAGCGTAGGAAGCTTGTGCGTCCAGTATTTGATGAGAACAATTGTAGGAGTGATTTGAATCACCAACTTCCTTGTCAGACACTTGACACGGCTAAAACAGGTAACTCAGATTTGATCGAGGTTCAGCCCGCTCTCTAATAATTAAACTATCTAGGTGAACAACAAACTCGACAGTCATCAAGTTCTCCAACATGCTTACTCAAGAGGCGGTTTGCATACACCAAAGCTTTGTATATGATGATGACGAGGCTAAACATAGGCAGCGCCCATGATTGTATACTAAAATCATGTAATATACGACTGTTTTCAGATCTTATGTCGATCTGCAACTCAAGTTTTGTGGAAGTTGGATTTTGTTATGCAAATGAACAAATTCACCCCTTGTGTAAATTTGATATTTGCTTACTTCATTTTGCTCCGCATTATAACATTTTCTTATTTTCGATGATCTTGTCTTTTATCATATTAAATCCATTTTCGTCCAAAGGTGTTCACTCCTATATTTTAAGTTATACTGTTAATTTTTTTTCATTCATTCTTAATCATATATTATATTTTGGATGTGAGCTTTGAGTTTGCTTTTATTAAGAAAAAGTTTGGTTCAAAGGAGGTACCTTCCAGCTATCTTGTTGCTCTGCCTTGTGCCCTCCTATGCAGATAAGGTGATAACTTTGGGCATGTTGTGCTCTCACAGAGTGACGGGCGATCCCAGTGACCCATTGGATTGGATTTCTCTCTTGGGCGGACTCCATATGGGGATAACTTGTTACTTGTAAAGTCCATATGATATTCACCTTCATATCGATAAGTTGTAGCCTGGAATTCAAATGGAGCAGAGGTTAGCTCACCCTCGCGGAATCACAACTCAGTTGAGTTAAGGTGATGACTTGAGGCATGATGAGTTCTCATTGCGTGTATGAGGCAATTTAGTTGAGTTAAGGTGATGACTTGGGGCATGATGACATTGCGTGTATAAGGGTTGAGAATTAATTTTTTTATCATATGACTTGTCGATAATTATTATTTATTTCGTTTTTTCATACCATATATCATAGGTAATTAAGAATAGTTCACCCTCGTGGAATTAAAACTTAATTGGGTATTATTGGTCCTAATCAAATTTAACATGAATAAAGATTCGATTTTTTTTTGATTGTATGACTTTGTCAACAAATTACTATCTATTTCGACTTCATATTAGACAGAAATTAGTTGGGTACATGCCAATTTTATTTTTGATACTAAAATCACATCTTTTGTTTTTTACATAGTTCAAAATTTATTTTTTATATGTCATTTGAAATTCTAAATTAAACATATTTTCATATCTTATTTTATTTTATGACTTACTAGATATGAAAATTCAATTAAAAAAATGAATTGAAATTATAAAAAAGATGTTATTACCTTATTCATCTTTTGGTATCATAATTTTATTTTTTAGAATCAAATTATAAACACTTTGACTAACATTATCTAAAACATATTTTTATCAAAAAAAAATTAATATCATTTTAAAAAGTAATCAATTAACTTTCGAAATTAGAAAATACACAATAAAATATGGAAGAAGGTAACACACAAATTGATTTGTCATTTTACAGTTATAACCTTTCTAACAGAATCTCAGTCACCCCAACACCCTCCTCCGTCCCAAACCTTCGGTGACATCTGAAGTCGCCACCGCCTACCGCCCGCCGTACCACATGCTTCGGAACCTCCGAACGCGGCGGCGTCCGCTTTACGGCGCGCACATTTGCGCCTTAGCGGCAGCGATTCTCCTCCTCCTCTCTGTTTCACTCCTCTACAGTCGCCTCAACTTCTTCCTCCAACCTAACAATCCCCATCCGCATCCCCTCCAATACGACACCATTTCACTGAACAACCCTCTCGTCGACGATTTAGCTGACGCTGATTACCGCTCCTCAGATGACCGCATTGACGAGCTCGACGTTGCTGACAGTAACAACAATAACGATGATGAGTTCCTCTTATCCAATGAATCCGAAGAGGACGATGAAGAAATCATCAATCAATACCCTAGGGTTTCGTCGACATATTTCTACGATCAGAGGCACGGAGTTGTACGGAGAGCGTTTAACAAACGATCAATTGAGGAATGGGAAGATTACGTTAATTTTGAATCGAGGATGAAGTTAGGATTAGGGTTTAAGAGTGATGAATCTAAGGCCGCGTTTGGATCGGATGATCTTCCAGTGGATGTGCAAATGAGGATGAAGTTGAGCGAAATTGAGAGTGTTGAAGATGCTTTGTTACTAAAAGGATCACCTTTGAGGGAAGGGTGGGGTGAGTGGTTTGAAAAGAAGAGTGATTTTTTGAGGCGTGACAGAATGTTCAAGTCAAATCTGGAGGCGTTAAATCCAAATAATAATCCCATGTTGCAGGATCCTGATGGAGCAGGGACTACTGGATTGACTAAAGGGGATAAGATTGTGTTAAAAGGGTTGATGAATGAGTTTAAGAAAGTTCCATTTCTGGTGAAAAAACCACTTTCAGTGTCTGAATTGACAAAATCTGAGTTGGTTAATGATGCTTTGGAGTTACAGAAGATGGCGGGATTGGCCAAAAATGATGTTTTCGAGTCAAAGGAGTTGAAATTCAATAGTGATTTGGTGAAAACTAATGATGAGGATGTGAATAGAGGGAAGAGAGTGAAGCGTAGAACTTTAAACGATGATGCTAGAATTGGAAAAAGAGTTGTTCATGATAGTGGTGGAGATTCAGCTCCTAGGAGTAAGGAAGATATAAGGAATGGTAATATGAAAGTTGTGGAAGATGATTCCCGAGGTGAAGTTTCTGGGCTAGTCTTTGCTGATGGGAAGAGATGGGGTTACTTTCCGGGCTTGCACCCCCGGTTGTCTTTCACTAACTTTATGGACTCATTTTTCAGGAAAGCAAAATGTACTATGAGAGTTTTCATGGTCTGGAATTCTCCAGCATGGATGTTTACGGCTCGGTATCAGAGGGGACTTGAGAGTGTACTTAACCGTCACCGGGATGCTTGTGTGGTGGTTTTCTCTGAGACAATCGAACTTAATTTCTTTAGTGGTTTTGTGAAGGATGGGTAAATTACAGAATTTCTTTCTTCCATTAGTTTAGATTTGTTATCTTGTTGGCAGAGGCAGATGTAGAGTACAGGTACCCGGTGCCAAGCATATATTTATGAGTTAAAATCCACAAATATTGCAACAAACAGTAGATATGAACCGATAACTTTAAAAATACAATGAGTTCATTTGCTAAAAGTACCTGGATCTGCCTCTGCTTCTTGTTTGTTTGACTAATATTTTCATCTGAAGTTATCCATATTTGCCTCATGAAAATCATAATCAAAGTGCTTCCAACAAGTCTTAAGTTCTTACTTAAAACAACAGTTTTTTTTTTTGTAAAAGAAGATAATCTCAAGTTCTCTTTGTGTATATACGCATAAATGCATGTCTATGGTGTTTTATTTTTCCAGTTGCACTTTATTAGAGATGGATTTGATGATAGATTATTTTCCGCAGCTTCAAAGTGGCTGTTGTGATGCCTAATCTTGATGAGCTCCTACTAGGCACACCAACACATGTATTTGCTTCTTTCTGGTATGAATGGAAGCAGACAAGACATTATCCTTTCCATTACAGTGAACTAGTCAGGCTGGCAGCTCTATACAAGTAAGCAATTTGGAAAATATACACTTCCCAATGTATTTAAATTGTTATGTACTCTGAAGCTAATCGAGGTGTTATCTCTACGATGATGCATTGTAGTTTTAATTTTAAATGTATTACCTTCCACCTAGTTTGGCATAACAGAGTTAAAAAAATCTAGTGTTTCCTGTATATAACATTTGACTTGAGGTAAGGCAAATTAGATAAGGAGCCCACACTTAAGATCTCGACTATTTATTTCAATAGGTATTATTTGTATAATAGAAAAATGATTCCAATAATTTTTTCGAGATTAATCAGTTGACGGCAGAAACAGTTACCTTCTTTGATGCAATAGATTAACTTCAATTTGCTGAGTTTTTTTTTGTTTTGAGAATTCAATTTGCTGAAGTTTATCTCAATGTGATTGTAATATTTCTCTTTCGGTTTTTGTTTCCCATAGCTGATATTCTTAAACTTGGTCTAGTAAACCACAAGACAGGTTGTTCATGAAGTTAAGAAGTGGAATTGATGATGGTTAGAAACACTTTATAAAAAATAACGGTGAGAGGACTAGTGAAGAAGGATCTAAGTTTTTTCTGAGTCATACAAAAGATTTTGCTGTTACTATATGTCAGTGAATAACTCATTGTTGTGTCTGTGGCACATGGAAAGCTTCTTTTTAAGATCACATAATTCCAGAAATTTGCTGCCTCTAGTGAGTTTTTTTTTATAGCAGAATTACATGAGTTATCCTTAGAGAAAGTAGATTGTGGTGAGGCTGCACCAACATCTCTTGGCAAAGAACCTTATGAAACTAGGATCATGAAATGTGTTACATCTCAATCTTTTCCTTGATTCTCATTAAAGAATTTATTTACCTTATAAAAAAGATTGATTAAAGGAGCATATGAAAGCTGTGGTCTAATGTTCGTGATGAACTTTTGTCCTTTCTATTTCTGCAGGATTATTCTAACTTCAGTAATATGACGACTTAATTTCTTTTGGTGAAGTTTATAGTTGTTGCGTTGTTATAAATAAACTTTCATGTTCTCCTTTTCCTTTAATTGCAGATATGGTGGAATCTATCTTGACTCAGACATCATAGTGTTGAATTCATTGTCTTCACTTAGTAATACTGTTGCTTTTGAGGATGACCGACGTGGAAAAACTTTGAATGGTGCTGTAATGGCTTTTAGAAAGCACAGGTACTTGCAAAACAATCTTTGCCTCTTGAATAGTTCTGAAGTGCTCTGTTCTGGTTCTGGTGTGCTTGGACCTTGCAATAACCACCCTTTCTGTGGCATTTTAGTATGTCCCATGCCTAATATTTTGAGGCCCACTGAGGAAGAGACATGAATAAGGAAAATAGAGGGAATTAGGGAAGGGCTGCTTTATGTGGATAAAATTACACATTCATAAAATAAAGATTGATCGAGGTGCACACAAGCTGAGCAAGATACCACTGTTTCCAAAAATATGTTTGGGTTGTCCTTAGCAGCCTGAAAACGCTATCGAATGCAAGTTTTGAACAATAACCTCGTATTGCACCTGTTAATCTGTCAGAAATATTTGCTACAGTTTATTGCGGGAGAAGGATAGGAAAACAAGTATTCCTAGCAAAAACATATAAATGTAAATTATTTTTCTCTTCTATCTGCCCTATAACCAAGATTCACTTTCTTGTATGTCTTTTGCAGTCCTTTTGTAATGGAGTGTTTGAAGGAGTTTTATGCATCTTATGACGACACACAATTGAGATGGAATGGAGCTGATCTTTTGACAAGAGTTGCTAGTAACTTTTCCGTCAATGGTAATCTTTCCAGTAGAAAGAGGGAGATCAAATTTCAACCCTCGTTTGTTTTCTTCCCCATCGGTCATAACAATATTACCAGGTACCAAACTTAACATCCTTCTTAATCTTGAGGTCAAAAGTATTAAAAGGTGGTACTTAGAATTGTGAGTGCTTAAATTTTTCAGTGAAAGATTTATTATTTATTATTTTGAACGCTTGATTATTGTTCATACCGTTGAATGGGGAAGTGTGTAGGCGGGTTAAGAACTCACACGTCTAGAAGATGAAAGTAGCAGAAGTGTTGAGATGGATGTGTGGGATACTAGGAGAGATATGATCAACAATGAAGACATTTGGGACAAGGCGGGTGTGGCCTCCATGGTGGACCAGATGAGGGAAGTGAGGAAGTGAGGAAGTGATGGTTCGAGCATATGAAGAGGAGATGCACAAATGTCACGCAGAGGAGGTGTGAGAGGTTGACAATTGTGGTTTGAGGAGAGGTAGCGCTAGGCCGAAAAAGTATTAACGAGATGTGATTAGATAAAGCATGACACATTTGCAGCTTATTGAGGACATGTCCCTAGATAAAAAGGTCCAAGATTAAGGTAGAATGCTAGTAGGTAGTCGAGTATTATTAGTAATTTAGTACTACTCTCTTATTATTCTTCAATTTTATTATTGCATGTTGTTTTCTTTGCTTCAGTTATCGTATTTGTGTTGTTGAGATTATTTTCAGCATGGCTTCTTTACTATTGTATCCTCTTTTCAACCTTCTTGAAATGCTTTACTTGAGCTGAGAATCTTCCGTAAACAATCTCTCAACCTACCAAGGTAGGGGTAAAGTTTGCTTACACACCACCCTCCTCAAACCTCACTTGTGGGATTACAGTAGGTATGTTATTGTAGTTGTTGATTATAGCACACATGGCTTTTAGTTCAGAATATGGCTTTAAGAATCTTATCTCTATTTGAAAACTACAGTTGTATGGTTAACAGAACTTAAATATTGCAAATTTTGTCCCAGAACAGGTCACTTGTTCAAAACTTTGAAAACTCAGTCTAGTTAGAGCTTCCTGATTTTAGCAGAACCTTCAAAAAAAAAAAAATGAAATTAAGGAGTGAAATTCTATCTATCCCCCCTGTAAATAGAATTATCCCTCTTAGAGCCCAGCAATTTATCCCTGGATTTCATTAGCTCCCACAATATGGCTTAGAGACCATACATTTGCTTGTGGTTAACCCCCTGACTAAATTGGAGTTTCTGCAACATCTTACTTCATCAAAAATAATAAATTCATCTATCCAAGGACTTGTATTCTCTGAACTGTAAAGCCGGTTGGGAAACTAACCTTGAGTTTCAATGAAAACTGATTCTCGGTTTTTCCAACTTGAATACCTGGTATTATAATGGTCAGCTAATAATTCAACTTGATAATGCTTGAATCAACAAGAGATCTCCTTCTAGTAGAAAAGATGTTGGAAAAGATAAAGGTAAAAATTTGGAAACCCTTACCCCTAACAATCTGATGAATCTGGAGAGAAACACGATTTTTCTGAAAGCAAAAAAGAATATGCAATTAGTGTTATGTACGGATGCATTTCTTCATTGCTTTTTTGGTGTAACATGGCTGATGCAACAGATTTCAGAGCCACAGATAGATTTTTTGAGCTCATTACACAACTTATATATTGATGTTGTTCTTGTAAATATTTTAAACACACCCCATGTGACTAGCTGTGAGAGTAAAATATCTTTTTGAGACAAAAAACAGAATGGTCAGCTAATTCCCATCCAATCTTATTTGAAATCTTTGAACTCTCAAAAGGCGACCTTCTATATTTTGGGCTTCATTAGAGGTCATCTTTTTCACATGGTATTTAAGTGGACCACTGGCTCTTTTAAATGTCCTCTTTTAAAAAGTTTTTGAGTCCTTGATCCGTCTAAATATCTCATTCAGGGAGCTTTGGCAGAATCTGAACATGTCATGGTTTCTGTGATCTGTCATCATCATATCTGCTGGTTAAAGTTACATAATTTGCTTATCTCTTTCTTTTGACAGATACTTCTCGGCACCAGCAATGGAAACTGAGAAAACTAAACAAGATACGCTGTTCAAAACTATCCTCAAAGAAGCTGTCACATTTCACTTTTGGAATGGCTTAACTTCAGCTATGGTTCCAGAGGCTGGCAGCCTTGCACACCGGCTCATTAATTACAATTGCCTACGTTGCTCTGACACATTGTGAAACACCATTAAAGCAGATGGATGACCTTTTAAAGCATTTTTGTTTTCATGCCATTAGATATACCTCACAGCTTTTAAAGATATTCCGGTGGTGCTTCATCCATGAATAATATATAAATTTTTGTTGTACAAAATATGAATCTCCAGTTGGTTGGCTTTCTGGACCTTGTCTATATTAGTTGTTGTAGATTCCCTCGAGGGACGAATTAAGAGGTCCTGCTTTTTGTAGCTGAGTTCTTACTGTATATTTCCCCTTGTGAGTTTTGTAGAACTATTTGTAGTCATTGGCAACAGGACAATGATATATTTAAATGATGTTCTTGTATGATTGTTTTTATGTAACCCACGATGGTGTTTGCTGCGTCCAGTGATGATTAAAGTGGCCTTGAACGTCGATTGAGCGCTAACTTCAAATGAGTCAGACAATGCTAGAACTAGACTTGGTGCTCATTATGCTGTTTTTTCAAGGAACAATCATGTGGATAGAGCACATAGCATGGATAATTCTCATGAGCCTTCCCTTTCTAGGAAGAATAGAAGTGATCCCTTTCGGAATGTTGGAACTGCAAGGGGGGAAAAAGAGCCATTTGGACCCTGATATTAATCCTACAATTGTGTCTGAGCGCTTTGTGAACTCACCGTACAAGAAAAAAGGAATGCGTAAAGATGGTAGATTATTCAGAAGAGAGATAAGAGGAAATGAATCTAAGGAATCATAAGAGAGTTTGATCATCAAGAGTCCACTGATGATGATGATGTATGCTTCCTTTCTATGCGTAAAGGAGCAAATGAAAAATGTGCTGACAGATTTCTTATCCCAACTGCTTCAAATGGGAACTCCGCCTATGCCGGAGATGTAGGTAGACAAATGGCTGAAGTTGGTAGTTATCCAATGAATGATTTTGATGGGTTGGTCCCTGGTACGAGAACAACAGATTGACGAAACTTGTTCATTCTGATTCCAGAAATTCCAGAAGAAGTGTTTTTAGTCGCTTATCTTTGGCTCCTAAAGTACATAAGCCAAGAGAACAAGAGTTTGATTATAGTATGAGCTTCGATGAACATTATATGGATACAATAGTTGATGAAATCATGGACTTGTTATACGAGGATCAGAAAATTGTACCAAAAAAGCCATTGAACCGTAAACCATTTATCCGAAAAGTTGGTTCTGGTCAGGAAAACATGCTTCAGTTGTCAAGAATGATGCAGAGCAGACTGCTGATTCAATGATGAGAGTTCTCAAAGGAAGTGCAAATGAAGTTCTTGAAGAAACCATGAACCATATTCTGGCAGAGACCAGAATGGTGGATTTCAAGCGCAGGAGGGAGACGAATCGAACTTCAGAACAGAGTACTGTTAAATTAAACAAAGAAGAAGAGACAAATGCTAATGAACACACAGTCCTTCAGAATGCACAAGGAAACAGTTCTCAAACTGCAGTGGCTAAGGATTCAGCTGATAAGCCATTCAAGCGTAGGAAGCTTGTGCGTCCAGTATTTGATGAGAACAATTGTAGGAGTGATTTGAATCACCAACTTCCTTGTCAGACACTTGACACGGCTAAAACAGGTAACTCAGATTTGATCGAGGTTCAGCCCGCTCTCTAATAATTAAACTATCTAGGTGAACAACAAACTCGACAGTCATCAAGTTCTCCAACATGCTTACTCAAGAGGCGGTTTGCATACACCAAAGCTTTGTATATGATGATGACGAGGCTAAACATAGGCAGCGCCCATGATTGTATACTAAAATCATGTAATATACGACTGTTTTCAGATTTTTGTGGAAGTTGGATTTTGTTATGCAAATGAACAAATTCACCCCTTGTGTAAATTTGATATTTGCTTACTTCATTTTGCTCCGCATTATAACATTTTCTTATTTTCGATGATCTTGTCTTTTATCATATTAAATCCATTTTCGTCCAAAGGTGTTCACTCCTATATTTTAAGTTATACTGTTAATATTTTTTTTTCATTCATTCTTAATCATATATTATATTTTGGATGTGAGCTTTGAGTTTGCTTTTGTTAAGAAAACTTTGGTTCAAAGGAGGTACCTTCCAGCTATCTTGTTGCTCTGCCTTGTGCCCTCCTATGCAGATAAGGTGATAACTTTGGGCATGGAGCTCTCACAGTGTGACGGGCGATGTGTACACCATATGATATTCACCTTCATATCGATAAGTTGTAGCCTGGAATTCAAATGGAGCAGAGGTTAGCTCACCCTCGCGGAATCACAACTTAGTTAAGGTGATGACTTGGGGCATGATGAGTTCTCATTGCGTGTATGAGGCAACTTAGTTGAGTTAAGGGGATGACTTGGGACATGATAACATTGCGTGTATGAGGGTTGAGAATGAATTTTTTTCATCACATGACTTGTCGATAATTATTATTTATTTTGTTTTCATACCATATATCATAGGTTATTAAGAATAGTTCACCCTTGTGGAATCAAAACTTAATTGGGTATTGTTGGTCCTAATCAAATTTAACATGAATAAAGATTCGATTTTTTTTTGATTGTATGACTTTGTCAACAATTACTATCTATTTCGACTTCATATTAGATAGTTTACCCTCACGGGAATAGAAATTAGTTGGGTATATGCCAATTTTATTTTTGATACTAAAATCACATCTTTTGTATTTACATAGTTCAAAAGTTATTTTTTATATGTCATTTGAAATTCTAAATTAAACATATTTTCATATCTTATTTTATTTTTATGATTCACAAGATTTGAAAATTCAATTAAAAAAATGAATTGAATTATAAAAAAAAATGTTATTATCATCGTTCATTTTTTGCTATCACAATTTCATTTTTTAAAGTTAAACTATAAATATTTTAATTTACATTATATGAAACATATTTTTATCAAAATAAAATTGAAAGAAGGGTAAAACAGAAATCGATTTGTCATTTTACAGTTATAACCTTTCTAACAGAATCTCAGTCACCCCAACACCCTCCTCCGCCCCAAACCTTCCGTGACATCTGAAGTCGCCACCGCCTACCGCCTTTTGTTTCAATCAAATATCTTATTAAATTAGTATTAATTAGTTAGATTGTATTTTCAAAAAAAAAATAAAAAAATAACGGCTCTTGCTATTAATCCTTTTCAATGTAAATTTAAATTCCAATTTGAGAAAGCACACTATAAATACATACTATCAGTTCCACCCATAACGGCTCTTCTCTTCTCTTCTCTTCTCTCATCGATACAACGGCTCTTGTTAAAGGTCTTTCTCTCTTCTTCTGCATAAGTTTGAATTCCATTTTCAATTTGGATTTTAAAAGAAATCAAGTTTTTTTTGGGTGTGTATGCTGCAGACAATGGTGAAGATCTTGGTGGCGAGGACAAAACAAGAAGGAGCTGGTTGTCAGGCAAATGATGAGAGACAGACATTGGTATGCTTCTTGAATCCCACTGCTCGATCGTATTCAGCTACTTTTTCCTATGGCTTAGGGTTTAGGGGCTTAGTTGATTGATTGATCAATTGAACCTCAAAATCAACTCGTAGAAATGTGTAATTTAGTAAATCATGCCTGGGATCATTTATCTTCAATTATTATTCCATCTATTTCAAGTTTGAAAATATTTCTTTGAAAATTCATTCACTAAAGTTTCAATTCAAACCCTTGTCTGCTTCTAACGTATATTCACATTTGAAAATCGAAATTGAAAGCTGGAGCGACCAAGAAACGACGGGAATTTTCTAATGTATCGAATCATCAACTGTCTCTGCTGATCTCTTATTCTTCCAACCTTGTGTGAGTGTTTCCTGTTTTTGGTCTCAAATTTTTTATGTGTATTTCTTTTTTACTGTAGGAAAGTATTTATCATATTTTTTTGTGTGTATTTTTCTTATTACTGGTTCAATGATTCATTTTCTGTATGTTGGAATCATCTTCTGTATGCCTAATGGGGTTTCTATAAATTTGTGCAAGTGAAATGTCGATGAGTTTTGTGATTTTTTTTTTGGGGTGGGTGGGGGTGGGTTTATTCTAAGATTTTAGACAAGTAAAATGATTGAAGGTTTTTGATATGAGGGTGAAATTAAAGTTCTGAAAATCAAGTGAAATGATATGAGGGTTTTTGATCCAAGGGGATTTACGGGATTTCAATTTTTTGGCCAAGATTGTGATATTTGGAAGTTGAATCTTTTCTAAAATTATGTCTGAGTTAAGTATTCTTTAATGGTTAAAAAGTATTATGAATCTTGCCACTTTGCATTTCGAACATTTGAAGAAAGTTCTAATGTTTATGTTATTAGGTTGAAGAAAAGTTTTCACACTAAGGTTTCTATTATTACTTTATAAGCTGATTTTCACTGAGAGTAGATTAAAATTTCCCTTTTACCTAGCATGATCAGTTGGCTCATCCATGATCAAAATTTCCCTGTTTGGTCATTTAAAATGTTTGTCTTGTCTTCTGCTCTAATTGTTCCTTTTCTCATCTCCTTTATCTTGATTAATTTGTGAAACTTCAGCATCACTTCTGTCATGTTAGTATAGTGATTTATACTCAAAACCATGTACATGCAGAGAAGATCAAGATTGATGGGATAAAACAAGACCCTTGGTTCAATCCTTTTCCCTTCATTGTGAAAGGTTAGAAAAACTTCATTGGGTAAGAAACACAATATTTGATGATTACTCAACCCAACTCATTTTTTTATGTCTTCTTTTTGTTAAACTATATAAATTGAATTGTTTAAGTGCATTCTAACTTTGTTTTTTTTAGGTCGGGGGCGGCCTCGGGGCACGACGGTGCTTCGAGGCTGCTGGGGTGGCGGCCTCGGGGCACGACGGTGCCTCGAGGCTGCTGGGGTGGCGGCCTCGGGGCACGACGGTGCCTCGAGGCTGCTGGGGTGGCGGCCTCGGGGCACGACGGTGCCTCGAGGCTGGTGGGGGGGCGGCCTCGGGGCACGACGGTGCCTCGAGGCTGCTCGGGGGGGCGGCCTCGGGGCACGACGGTGCCTCGAGGCTGCTCGGGGGGGCGGCCTCGGGGCACGACGGTGCCGCGAGGCTGCTCGGGGGGGCGGCCTCGGGGCACGACGGTGCCGCGAGGCTGCTCGGGGGGCTGCCTCGGGGCACGACGGTGCCTCGAGGCTGCTCGGGGGTGGCCTCGGGGCACGACGGTGCCTCGAGGCTGCTCGGGGGGCGGCGGCCTCGGGGCACGACGGCTGCTCGGGGCTGCTGGGGGGGGGGGGAGAGGGTGGCCTCTACTTTTTTCTTTCGAAGATTTCCTTTTTAAAATAATTTGGTGACTCCTTAGTTATTTTTTTTTCAAAATTTGTAAATTGGCAAGTTTGGAAAAGGTAGCAGAGCCTGAACTTGATGCTATCTTGCTCTAACTTATTTAGATGCTGATGCCATAATATGTGAGTAGTAAGACTTAGGGCAGGCACAATGATTTAAGACTTAGTTAGTTAGCACAGTCGTTTGCTAAACGATGAAAATGAAAAACATTTGTTTTTATATTTTCAACTAACTCCTTAATATTAATGTACCAAAATCAATTATTGTCTGTTTTTGGCTGTTTTAACTTATGACTATACATTTTGCAACAATGGTTGTGTGAGTGAGAAAATTACATGGTCTTAATCTCTTTCATATTCTCAATGTTGCTTTCGACATTACAACGGCTGGGATGTTAGGGATTCAATTTAAGAGCATTTATAAGGTTGACAGTCTAGTCTGAATTATATGGATGTTTTAGGTCCAATTATTGCAAAAGTCTTGGTTGGTTAAATTAGTACCATATGATGAAGCCTATACCTGTAGTCCATTGTTGAATACATAATTTCTTTTGTGAACGGCAAGCAGGTTGTTGCAGAAAATCCAATATCCCAAGCTAAAGCGGAATCTGAAACCTTCAGGTAATATAACTGAAGATATTACTGTCACTGTACTCTGATCAAACTAAAAGGTCACTGGTTTAGTGCTGTAGAGTTCTATTGGGTGGTGCTAATGCTTTCCATCTTTTGATGTGCACTGGTAGTGTTTTGTGATTAGTTCATTTGTCTTGGTTCTAATTCAATCATTTGTTTTTCTTCCTTATGCATTATTTGTTTTGTGATTAGTTCATTTGTCTTGGTTCTAATTCAATCATTTGTTCTAATTCAATAATTGCTCTTTGGGTATTTGAACAATCTGACCGTTTGTATTCAGGGACATTGTGGTTCTTGTTGGGCTTGTTGTGGTGCTGCTGAGTCGTTGTCTGATTGTTTCTGTATTCATTTTGGCTGGGTAAATTCATTCCTTCATGCAAAAACTTGCAAGTTTATTCTAGTTATGGTTGCTAATGATTCAATTTTATGTGTGAGGCAGAATATCTGTGTCAGCAAATGATATCGTAGCATGCTGTGGTGGTCACTGAAGAGGTCATACTGTTTTGTTTTATACACTTCTTGTACTTCTGAGGAAATACATCTTTTCTATATGCTCGACTAATAAATTTTTTCCTGTCAGTGTGATATGTGATTGCTGATTCTTCAAGTAAACACTAGTATCCGCAATCTTAATAAGTACTCTGTCAATCTTGACAAAGTCAAAACATTAGTATCATCTATCGTATACTACTTCTCCATTTCTGTTATATGTCACCAATTTGGATTTCATGTCCCTTAAAAAGAAACTAGGTAAATTTACCATTATACTACCCTTGTCAAGTTTTTCAATAAGGAAATATAAGTTAATTTGTTTTGATTAATTAAATTGGCCAACAAACATGTATAAATCATTTTAATTTAAAGGTTTTTCCCCCCATTTTCATATAGCTGCAAAAGCGGAACATCTAAACAGTGAAGAAGAAGATGATTTCCCATGTATTGAAAGTGTTGCTACTCCTCAGTCATCCCTCTACTTTTTGTTTTTGTGTGGAGATATGTTGGCTGCAATAATTGAACTTTATTTCTGTTGAACGCTGCATGTCCACCACCTGTAAGCCTACTTTTTGCATCAGGAGGCTTATGTAGAGACAATGTGGCTGAATAAGTCTCGGGATAACAAGGACAAAGGGGAAGGAAAGCCTCAATACTTTTCTGAAGACGAGATCTGTACGAATTAACAAGTAGCTCATTCTCGAGCATCTTTTTTCTTGTATACAAAGAAGATTTCCAGCTCAGGATGACTTCTTTCAGCCAGAAGGAAGAACATCAATATTCTCCAAAAACAACATGTTTTCATCTTCCATGTCATTCATTAGCTTCTTGGACATCACCACCAGTTCGGCTCCATTCATCCAATTCATTGAGCTCATGTTATGTTTCCACAACTTCCTCGGACAATCTGCAATGACAAGAACATATTAGAAGATTACATGAGTTCATTTAAGTGTGTATATGATTTGGCCAACCATATCCAAGTTGCACCCGTTTGGCATGGGTACATCAAGGCGAATGAAGGACATATAACATAGATCAGGAGATTAAGGTGATAGGTAAAGAAAACTACATAAGCCTCCTGATGCAAAAAGTTATATCCTGCTTTACATGCAGCATTTTTCAGCAAGTTCTCTGGTAGAACAGTCGGGGACGCCCCCCGCCCCCCTGCCCCCGAGGCGGCCTCGGGGCCCCTCCTACCCTGAGGCACGCGTGTGATAGGGATCTCAAATGCTTATTACTGTGAGTTAAAACCTCACATTAAATGATCGACTTGTGAGTAAATGCATTTCATATTGAAAAATTTCCACTTCATGTGAAGTCATTTCAACTTTTTAAATGTTCTCTTTTTCTATAAATGTACAGAATCAAGAGGACTAGATGTTTTGCTGAATGGAATTACCTGCAACTGTTCTGAACTATACGTAAATATAATATAATCAATCAAAAAGTTTCTTGTTTGGGTTAATTACATATCATTGTTTAAACCAATATATAGTAGGAAGAGAAGATTATGCTGCCATCATCTTAGGGTTGCTGCTTTCTTCACTGCATCTTTGTCATATCAGATGCAGTGGCACTATTCACCTCAATCGTTTCTCTCAGTAGTATTCAAGCCTGCAATGTTTCTAGAATCAATATAGAGGTGATAAATTATGCAACATCCCAATGACGAAGAAATGAAGATAGAGGATTAGTATTTACGGAACCTGTTTCAGAGAAGCATAATGAACTAGATTTTACAGGCTACAGGACACTATTGTATTTTGAGGCAATAAAACATTGGTCCTAAAAATGATGTTTCTTGAATGTCAGTATTTTGAGCCTTATTTGCGTACTAAGCAGATTCAACAATATTGCTTGGGGTATCGAAGTGGATGTCTTGTGCATTCCAACAAGTCTGCAACTCATGTTTATTTTCTTTTCGACTCTCCACACGTGTCAATGTAATCACTTCACTGAAATAGCCATACCTTGAGAGTTTTTTTTATCTTGACTCTGAACTGTTTTGACATAGTAATGATAATTTGGAGAATAAAAGACAGAAAACATGCCTATCATTGTTTGGATCAATTTCTTTTCCATATGATTGGTATCTTGAACTTGACCTTTCATTCCTACTGCTAAACCAAAATGGACTAAAAACAAAATATGATTTAGTGGCAGATAATCCTACTAAGTAACTCAAAAGATATTCGAAGAAAAATCTACGGCAATTTGAAGTTTCACGAAATGTGATTTTGAAGGGGTACTTGTGAAAATTTAAACTTCAAACGGACATAAAACACGCATCCGATGTAAGATCAAGCCAATTTTTTCCAACCTGATTATATTTTTGATATCTACGTGAAAAAATAGCACACACTTCCATAGGACATATAGTTCTACGTTTATCGTTTTTGACCATATATAGGGCAAAATAATAAGGAAAAAATAAAAGTCAAATCGGTCAAAGAGATTAGGTTTACCACATAGATCTCAAAAAAATAAGAAACTTTAAAAAAAGAATAGCCCCCAAAAGATGGTCGAGGTAAAATCTACGGCCATTTGAAGTTTCACGAAATGTGATTTTAAAGGGGTACTTGTGAAAAATTTGAACTTCAAACGGACATAAAACGCGAATCCGATGTCCGATCGAGCCAATTTTTTTCCAACCTTATTATTTTTTCGATATCTACGCTAAAAATATCACGCACTTCTATAAGACTTATAGTTTTACGTTTATAGGTTTTTAACAATATATATAGGAAAAAATTATAAGAAAAATGAAAATCAAATCGGTTAAAGGGATTGGGTCTACCACGTATATCTCAACAAAATAAGCAAGTTTAAAAAAAGAATCGCCCCCAAAAGATGCTCGAGGAAATAATTTATGGCCATTTAAAGTTTCACAAAATGTGACTTTAAAGGGTTTACTTGTGAAAATTTGAAATTGAAACGGACATAAAACGCGCATCCAATGTCCGATCGAGCCAATTTTTTCCTACGTGATTATTTTTTTTATATATACGTGAAAAACACAACGCACTGTCATAGGACTTATAGTTTTACTTTTATAGATTTTTGACCATATATAGGGCAAAAGTATAAGGAAAAAACCGAAGTCAAATCAGTCAAAGGGATTGGTTCTACTGCGTTTATCTCTAAAAAATAAGCAATTTTAAAATAATAATCGCCCACAAAAGATTCTCGAGGAAAAATCTACGGCCATTTGAAGTATCACGAAATATGATTTTAAAGGTGTACTTGTGAAAATTTTAACTTTAAACGGACATAAAACGCGCATTCGAAGTCCGATCGAGCCAAATTTTTTTCCAACCTGTTTATTTTTTTGATATCTACGCGAAAAATTACCACACACTACCATAGGACTTATAGTTTTACGTCTATCAGTTTTTGATCATTTATAGGGCAAAATTATAAAAAAAAAGAGTCAAATCGGCCAAAGAGATTGGGTCTACCGCATTTATCTCAAAAAAATAAGCAAGTTTAAAAGAGGAATCTCCGCCAAAATATGCTCGAGGAAAAATCTACGTTCATTTGAAGTTTCACGAAATGTGACTTTAAAGGGGTAATTGTTAAAATTTTAACTTCCAACGGACTTAAAATGTGAATACGATGTCCAATAGAGCCAAATTTTTTTCAAATTTGATTATTTTTTCGATATCTATGCGAAAAAATACCACACACTGCCATAGGAATTAGAGTTTTATGTTTATCGATTTTTAACCATATATAGGGCAAAATTATAAGGTAAAAAACAAAATCAAATTGGTCAAATGGATAGGGGATACCGCGTAGATATCAAAAAAATAAGCAAGTTTTAAAAAATAATCGCCCCCAAAATATGCTCGAGAAAAAATCTACGGCTTTTTGAAGTTTCACGAAATATGACTTTAAAGGGGTACTTGTGAAAATTTGAACTTCAAAAGGACATAAAACGTGCATCCGATGTCCGATCGAGCCACATTTTTTTCCAACCAAATTATTTCGATATCTACGCAAAAACATAGAATGCACTGCCATAGGACTTATATTTTTATGTTTATCGGTTTTTGACCATATATAGGGCAAAATTATAAGGAAAAAACAAAAGTCAAATCGGTCAAAGAGATTGGGTACCACGTATATCTCAACAAAATAAGCAAGTTTAAAAAAAGAATTGCCCCCAAAAGATGCTCGAGGAAAAAATCTATGGCCATTTAAAGTTTCACGAAATGTGATTTTAAAGGGTTACTTGTGAAAATTTGAAATTCAAACGGACATAAAGGCGCATTCGATGTCCGATCGAGCCAATTTTTTTTCCTACGTGATTATTTTTTTGATATATACGCGAAAAACACCACGCACTGTCATAAGACTTATAGTTTTACGTTTATCGGTTTTTGACCATATATAGGGAAAAGTATAAGGAAAAAACGAAAGCCAAATCGGTCAAAGAGATTGGTTCTACCGCGTTTATATCAAAAAAATAAGCAAGTTTAAAAAAGGAATCGCCTCCAAAAGATGCTCGAGGAAAAATCTAAGCCTATTTAAAGTTTCACGAAATGTGATTTTAAAGGGGTACTTGTGAAAATTTAACTTCAAACGGACTTAAAACGCGCATCCGATGCCGATAGAGCCAATTTTTTTATTCAACCTAATTATTTTTTTGATATTTATGCGAAAAAATACCACGCACTGCCATAGGACTTACAGTTTTATGTTATCGATTTTTGACCATATATAGGGCAACATTATAAGGAAAAAACGAAAGTCAAATTGGTCAAATGAATTGGGTCTACATCGTATATCTTGAAAAAATAAGCAAGTTTAAAAAAAGAATCGCCCCCAAAAGATGCTCGAGGAAAAATCTACGGCCATTTGAAGTTTCACGAAATATGACTTTGAAGAGGTACTTGTGAAAATTTAAACTTCAAACGGACTTAAAACGCGCATCCGATGTCCAATCGAGCTAATTTTTATTTCCAACCTGATTATTTTTTGATATATACGCGAAAAAATACTACGCACTGCCATAGGACTTATAGTTTTACGTTTATCAGTTTTTGACCATATATAGGGCAAAATGAAAAAGAAAAATGTAAGTCAAATCTGTAAGGAATTGGGTCTACCACATATATCTCAATAAAATAAGAAGGTTTGAAAAAAGAATCATCTCCAAAAGATGCTCGAGGAAAAATCTACGGCCATTTGAAGTTTCACGAAATATGATTTTAAAGAGATACTTGTGAAAAATTTGAACTTAAAACGCGCATCCGATGTTCGATTGAGCCACTTTTTTTTCAACCATATTATTTTTTTTGATATGTACGCGAAAGACAACATGCACTTCCATCGGACTTATATTTTTTACATTTATCGATTTTTGACCATATATAGCGCAAAATTATAAGGAAAAATGAAAGACAAATCAGTCAAAGAGATAGGGTCTACCGCGTATATCTCAACGAAATAAGCAAGTTTTAAAAAAAAATCGCCCCCAAAAGATGCTCGAGGAAAAAATCTATGGCCATTTAAAGTTTCACGAAATGTGACTTTAAAGGGTTACTTGTGAAAATTTGAAATTCAAACCGACATAAAATGGGCATCCTATGTTCGATCTAGTCAATTTTTTCCTACGTGATTATTTTTTTGATATATACGCGAAAAACACCACGCACTGCCATAAGACTTATAGTTTTACGTTTATCGGTTTTTGACCATATATAGGGAAAAGTAGGGAAAAGGGTCTGATATACCCCTCAACTTTGTCATTTAGAGCTGATATACCCCTCGTTATAAAAGTGGCACATATATGCCCTTACCGTTATACAAACGGCTCACATATACCCCTGCCGTTACAAAATGGTTCACATATACCCTTCATTTAACGGAAGTTAAAAAATTTGTTTCAAATTTATATTTGTTGCTTCTATTTTTAAAAAAAAATTATTTAGGGGTATATATGATTCTTCTATCAAAGTTCAAGGTATATTTTAATTTTTTTCATACATAAATTAATTTTTGACTTCTTTTATTATAATTATTTGAGTTTCTTATTCTTATTTTGTTTTTCTCTTTCATTCCTTAGTTTAAAGAAAAAAAATTTAAACTATTTTTTTTTGTGTATTGTTATTTAATTTCGTATTAGAATAAAAAATTTGGTCATCTACAATAAGTTTTACAAGAATATTAGTGAAACATAAATAAATTTGATTATCAAAATAATAATTATAAATTAGTCATTGAAACAAAAAAAAGTCAAAAAAATATGTTTGACGAGGATTAAATTTACTCATATGGGATTATATTTTTTAGAAAAAAATAATAAAAATTTAGATTAAAATTATTATTTTTTCATTTCCGTTAGAGGAAAAGGGTATATGTGAGCCATTTGTTTACAAGTAGGGGTATATATGGGCCACTTTTATAACGAGGGGTATATCAGCTCTAAATGACAAAGTTGAGGGGTATATCAGACCCTTTTCCCGGGAAAAGTACAAGGAAAAATGAAAGTCAAATCGGTCAAAGGGATTGGTTCTACCGCGTTTATCTCAAAAAAATAAGCAAGTTTGAAAAAGGAATCGCCCCCAAAAGATGCTCGAGGAAAAATCTACGCCCATTTAAAGTTTCACGAAATGTGACTTTAAAGGGGTACTTGTGAAAATTTAACTTCAAACGGACTTAAAACGCGCATCCGATGTCCGATAGAGCCAATTTTTTTTCCAACCTGATTATTTTTTGATATTTATGCGAAAAAATACCACGCACTGCCATAGGATTTACAGTTTTACGTTATCGGTTTTTGACCATATATAGGGCAACATTAAAAGGAAAAAACGAAAGTCAAATCGGTCAAATGAATTGAGTCT